TTCTAAGTAGACTTTTATGCCATATGTGAATAGAGATAGTTGTTTTTTTTTTTTTTTCTTTTTGATCTCGATGACTTTTCTTTTTCTTGCCTTCAAGTACTATATTGAACAGCAGTGGTGACAGCAGATGTCCCTGCCTTGTTCCTGATTTTAGGGAGAAAGCATTCTATCTTTTGCCATTAAGTATGACATTTGCTGTAGGTTTTTAAGGATGTTTCTTATGTTGAGGAAGTTCCTTTCTATTCCTCATATTCTGAGTTTTTATCATGAATGAATTTTGAATTTTGTCAGCTGCTTTTTCTGCATCAATTGATACAATCATGTGAATTTTCTTCTTTATATTGTTAATTTGGGGAATCACATTAAATGATTTTTCAGATATTGAAACATCATGCCTGAAATACATGCCAATTGGCTATCGTGTATTATTCTTTCTATGTATAGCTGGATTCTATTTGCTAATATTTTGCTAATGATTTTTGCATATTTTGTACTCTCTTTGCCTGGCATTGGTATCAGGGTAATCCTGGCTTCATGAAATAAATTGGAAAGTGTTCCTCTTTTGTCTATTTTCTGCAAGGGACTCTAGACTTGTTTCGTTTTTAAAATTTCAGCTTTACTGAGGTATAATTGGCATATAAAATTTAAGATACTTAAAGCATACATTGTGGTGATTTGATAGACACAGACATTGTGAAAGGACTCACACATCTAGTTTATTAACACATCCATCACTTCACATACTTTTTTTGTGTGTGAGAACATTTTAGTTCTACTCTCTTAGCAAATTTCAATTATACAATACAATGTCATTGTGGTGTTGTGAATTATAAAAAGCACCTATCTGGTTGTCATCCACAGTTCCTGGCCCACAGCTCTCAAAGCCTTTGAAATGAGAGCAAGAAGAGCATATTTTGTTATAATATTTGGTCTTTTTTTCTCAGTTCCTGAAAATGCTTCAGAACCATAAACGTGAAATGGGTGTCTTGTTATTCATAGCAAACCCCTCTCGCCACAACTAGGTTTATGTTAATGAAGCGACTTTTGGAAACACCTAAGGATGGAGGCTCCTGGCCAGGGAAATGAGCTATAAATAGAGGGTTGGGACTTTCAGTCTCACCCCCTGATTTCTGGGGAGGTGACTTGGCTTGAGGCTGACTCAATCATCAATGGCTACTGAGTTAATCAATTATGCCCATATGATGAAGCCTCCATAAAATCCCCAAAAGGAGGGCATTAGGAGAACTTCTAGTTTGGGGAACCAGAATGCTTCCATTTACCTTTATGCTGGATCCTAAACACCATGAGACCCCAAATTCCACAAAGGCAGAGGCTCTTTTGTTTGGGACCCTGCCCGGTGTATCTCTTCATCTGGCTGTTGATTTGTATTCTTTAATATCCTTTGTAATAAATTGAGTGAGTAAATGAGCTTCCTGAGTTCTGTGAGCTGCTGTAGCAAATTAATCAAACCCAAGGAGGTGACGGTGGGAACCCCTGATTTATAGCCAGGTGGTCAGAAGTATAGGTGACAATCTGGCCTTGCAATTTGGCATCTGAAGGGGAGGAGGCAGTCAGTCTTGTAGGGCTGAACCCTTAACCTATGGGGACAGATACTATCTCTAAGTAGATAGTGTCAGAATTGAGTTGGACTGTAGGATACCTGCTAGTGTCTGAGAATTGCTTCGTGGTGTGGCTAACACACAAACACATACACGTTAAAATTGGGAGTTAAAACCATTTTAGTTTTCAACTACAGTTAGCATGTTTTATATTAGATCCATCTGTAGCTTTGTTTTAAACTCTTCTTTAAATGTTTAATAGAATTCTCCAGTGAAACTATGTGGGGGTTGTGCACCTTTATATTGAGAATTTGATTTGATTTTCGTAGCAACCTTGCAAAGAAGGCATTTTACAGATATGGAAGCTTAAGGCTCGGAGAAATGAAGTGGCTTACCCAAGATCTAGACATCTTCTGATTCCAAGTTCAGTATTGTTTCCACAAAACCACACTTCCTGAGTTAGATGTCACTAGGCAGACTCTTCAGGCATTTGGAATCTTTTTGAGAAACAAGGAAAGAGAATAATCATATCTGTTCCTGGCCACTTGTGTTTAGCTGGGTGCCAGCTCTTTCTTGCTTGACATTACATTCAAGTTAGGGGATAATCAGGCAACTAATGAATTGCTGGGTATAAAACCTAGTACTATTAGCACAATCATAAAGGTGCAGGCTACGAGATTGATGACACATACATTGACACATCCCTCTGCAAAGTCTCAGAAGCAAAGCAAACAAAAATGTCTGAAGAGAGAAGGAAATCCTACTTTCGCGGTCCCTGGACATTCCCTGGGAAGTTTCGATGGGTCATCTCCCTCCTCCATCCCTCAAGACCTGACCCCATATTTCCCACTAGGAATGACTATCTTGTTTAAGACAGGATTTTTCACCACCTTCACTCTCCCTTCTGCGAGTGAATTTTCTTCCAACTCAGAGCATGTCACTTCCTTGTTTAATAGCCTTCCACGATTCTCTGTTGTCTATACTTCTCAACTTTATGGTTGTTGTCTATGTATGCCTATGGTTCTCAAATTTCAGAGAACAGAAGAATCACCCAGGGACACTAATGGAAAATGTAGACTCTTAAGTCCTAACCCCAGAGATTTTGATTCAGTAACTCTGGACTAAGACCCAGGAGTCTATATTTTAATAACCTCCTCCTAATGATTCCCATGTAAGTGGTCCAAGGAATATTGTTGACCAGATAGCAATCACTGGCATAAAAGTTGTAGTCCTTGGCCTGGCTTTCGGGGCCCCCTGAAGTTTGATTCCAACTTGCTTGGTCAATAGTACTCCTCCCTCACCCTCACCCTTACCCCTACCAGGCCTCCTATAGACCAAAATAATGGGTAAGACTGAACCATTTGGCTAGAGTGCTTTGGAAAGGCAAACTTAATCTCTCCTGTCCCTTTTCCCCCTGCCCTTAACATCTCAACATCAGCACAGAGTTGTTCAAACTATAGGTTGCCACACAATAATAGGTTTTGATCAGCTTTTTATTTAAATTTATGATTGCTGGAATAGAATACATGGAAAATGTCAGTGTGCATTGCTGTAGTTAAGGGTATTGTAATATATTTGTTTCAGTTAATTATACATATACATGGGTATGTACTATGTCAGGATATGAAATGTATTTCTTACTGTGGGAGTACTACAGCAATAACATTGAAAGCCACAGCTATAGAACTCACCCACTTTGCCTCTCATTGGATCCATCAGGATAGCCTTCTGTTTCTCCATTATTGTGAACCTTTGGAGAATAATAAATACTCTTACCATAAGATCCAGCCATTGCACTCCTAGATACTTACCCAATCGAATTGAAAACCATGTCCATGCAAAAACGTGCACATCAATGTTACATCTGTTTTTTTCATAATCAGTGAAAACTGGAAACAGCCAAGATGTCCTTCACTTGGTGAATGGATCAACACATGGTACAAATGGATAAACAAATTGTAATACATCCAGACAATGGAATATCATTCAGCAATGAAGAAAAAATGAGATATCAAGCCACAAAACTACATGGAGGAAACTTAAAAGCATACTGTCAAGTGAAAGAAACCAGTCTGAAGAGGCTACCTTCTGTATGATCTGCTTGGTGTTTTGGAAAAGGCAGAACTAGAGAAGTGATAAAAAGATCAGTGGTTACCAGTGGCTGTGGGGGGGCGGGGGGGAGAGGTATGAATAGGTGTGGAGCACTGTGGACTTAGAGCATAGGGAAGCTATTCTTTATGCAACTGCAATGGTGAATACATGTCATTATGCATTTGTCAAAACCCAAAGACTCTACAACACAGAGTGTCTCTTCATGGGAACTATGGCCTATAGTTAATTAATCATAATGCATCAGTATGGACTCATCAAGAGTAACAAATGTACCACACTCATGCAAGATATTAATAATAGGGGAAAACCGTGTCGGGGCAAGATAAGAAAGAAGGTGCGGGCTGAGTATATAGAACTCTGCATACTATCTGCTCAATTATTCTTTAAATTCAAAGCTTTGCTAAAGAATAAAGTCCATTAATTTTTTTTTACGAAACTAAGAGATTTCACATTGAAAGAAAAAAAGGCAAATGTGATGAGAATTATTTTTGAGTTGTAAGAGAGCCAACAAGGAAATCCTGGAAACTTGCTTGTGAACTACACAGCCAGCCTCGCCACTCAAGACCCCCCTTAATCCCTCGCCTGTCAAATAAGTCCAGGCCACATTTCCTCAGCAGTATAAGCTCGGGCCCTGTTGGGTTTGCACGCTGAACCCCTTTGGAAGTCAGAACCAAAATTTTCATGCCCTTCCTCGTTTTCTAGATTTTCTCATGGAAATGAGATTGGGCTTGTCTGGTAAATTTGAAAAAGCAGCATCACGAATTCCTTGCAAAGGAAAAAAAAGCTTTTCTGTGTCTGAAGTTTTCTCAATCAACTATAATGATGGCTTTCCTGTTAATTCTCCCTAATTATGTAGGAGGCCTTTTAAGTTTGTTTTGGTGGTTTTTCTCTTCTGAGAGAAGGCCATCAGCCCACCTTTCATATTATAAGAAGGTGGTGGCAGTTACTGCTTCTCCTTCCTCCTTTTAAGCCACTCGTCCATTTTAGAATTTCTGTGAGTGATCACAGGTGTAAATTCCCATTTGTCCCTGGAGTGGCTCTCAGTGAGGTGATTGTTCTAAATCCCTCTAAGCTACCC